ATAAAATAAAATTAAACTCTAACAACTAGGAACCAAATGGTGACAATCTAAAATTTATAAAAAAAAAATTATTTTTAATAGGACCCTGTGTCAACCCAGTTGCACATTAAGGTTTGATTTTTTTTAGAAATATAGTATTAACGATTCTGATGCCACGACTTAACTATAATTGTTTTAGAATGATATCTCATATAAAAAAAAATTGTAATTGCCACTTTTAGAAAAATCAAAACAAAGTTTTTTACACTGACATTAATGGCCGTATGCAAAAATGTTTATTAAACTCTGATCAAATGATCAAATGATTTTAGTTTTTGACAATTTGGCAACACTGTATGACTCCCTAAAAACGTATAATTAATAAACCCAATTGATTAAATCTTTAAAATGTGTATATTTTCCTTTAAAAGTCAACTTCTATGCACTAACATCAGATTTAATTACATACTTAAGTCAAGTAACCTGTCCAACCAATAAGATCATTTAAAATGTTAAATCAGGCGCAGGGATTCCAGAATCTGTTTAAATCCGCTAAATTTTGTTTAAATGCACCTTAATTACAAAAATGATACAATTAACAATAATGAATAACGTCAAATTGACAATTTAAATTGTAAATTGTAGTTGTATCATGTGTCATTTTTGTAATTAAGCTGCATTAAAACAAAATCTAGTGAATTTTATTGAGATTCAGGCGTTATAATTAAATTACAGCATAAGCAGTGATTTAACAATTTAACTTAATATGTACAATGGTACAAATTGGAATAATTGTTTATAAGCATTACAAAACCCAAGAAATATGAAAAAATAGTAAACGGGTTTTCTATGGCAACTGTCAAGTAAATGTTGTTACCTACGTTTTAGGTGATGTCGTGTACACGCTTACAAAATTTAGACTTTATTTAAAAATAAGTTTGACAACCAAAATAATTTTTACTTTCTTATTTTACTGTTTTTACAGTTTTCAAAGAAGAATATTGTCACTAGAATATTTCTTCGAGATCATCATGGCTCAAAGCAGCTATCGAGATAAGTGAAAATTATAAAATTCTCCTAGTTAAGAGTACAGGCATTACTTCTGTTAATAATGTCACTAACTAGACTTAATTAACGAAGATATATACTATAATTTGTAAAAAAAAAATTTATTTTTTCCTTCACATGAGTTTTTTGAGGATCAAAGTATCTTTTAAATTTATTAATTTTCACAACTTTTTTTTCATATAGGAGATATTATTCTAGAATAATTAAAGTTAAGTCGTGGCATCAGAATGGTAAATACTATATTTCTAAAAAAAATCAAACCTTAATGTGCAACTGGGTTGACACAGGGTCCAATTAAAAATGATAAAAATGAGAATTTTTGTTGTAAATTTTAGATTGTTACCATTTGGTTCCTAGTTGTTACTGTTCAATTTTATTTTATAATATAAAATGTACATTTACTACCCATTCAAATAAAGCATCAATAAATTTAATACCTAATCTAAGTTAAAAGCTAGAGCCCATTATGTAGAAGTATGAAATTGGCCCAATAAATGATGGTGGATTAGCATTTCCGGTACCTCAAAGATTATCCTCAATTTTTTTTATTAAAATTAAAAATCATGTGGCACACCCCATTTGTTGATTTCATATGAAATAAATCATCTTTAATAATATATCAATTTCCTGTGATATTAATTGTTCTTCTCTAAGATTTTTAATAAACTGTCTATCCTATCCTTTTTTAATTTTTTTTATACAATTTTATATATTTGTTTATATTTTCTATTAATACGTCATAATATTGTACAATCGTATTTGTTACATTTTATGTTTACATTATTACTGTTATTTGAAAGTACTTTTATGCTGTACAATGTTGGGCAATAAATACATATTATTATTATTATTAAATACAAATTGACAAGTTGTGGCTTTATGGCATTTTAGTCACGGGCTAAAGTTAGTTTTAAGTTAGTTAACAGCTGACAAATGTCATACAATCGTTTAAATAAAGTCGCTGGTTTGGTGCAAGACTATCCATTTTCTAAGAATTGGAGAAAAACACTATTGAACTTTTTTATGTTTTGTAACTAAATTGTTTTTTGCGTCATTCTTTTAAAAATTGGAAGGTTTTACACCCAAAGATTAATAAATAAATAGATATTATGCTAAAAATAATCTATGTTTCTCTCCAATTCTTTGAAAATTGACTTAGGATAGTCTTGCACCAAACCAGCAAAGTGTCCTTCTTGTAAAATAATTCTAAATGGAAAATAATTTTATTATCTCAATAACAAAATACGAAAATATTAAAATAGTTTTTCAACGCCAAATTTGAAAAGTTTATATGAGCATTGTACTGAACTTTTAGTTTCGCCGGCAGTAAACTGACTTAACTTAGTTTCAGGTGGAGACTCCACCGTGAAGTGTCCATAAAACATTTTCTTCACTTTCACTGTAAAAAACTGTTGTTAGTTAATTTTTAAGGGATACATTTTGATATACGTACACATAAAAATTTTACATTTTCACCGGCGCGCCAGTACTCAATAAAGACTCCCAAGAATGGTTACTCTATTCAGCGCCGGATTTAGGGGGGGTCTTTGGGGGTCTATAGACCCGGGGCGCAAGCTTACAGGGGGCGCAAAATTTTTGACTGGTAATTTTTGTTTTTTACTACAACCTAAAGGGTTTTCCCCTTTTTTTATTTTTTGTGTATTAATCAGTTTTAATAAAAAAATTATTTAAATTATAACCGTGATTGTTGCCATAGTATTAGTATCTATGCATAGTATACGAAATATGTCATGTCCCGTATTACGTAGGGCGCCCGACAAGTTGTTGGGCGACAAGAACTTTAGTTTGCAGAAATTGATTATTTCCACCGATGCGATGCGTATGGGTGTAAAGGTTTTTTAGGTTTTATTAAACTACGAACAACTATTAATTTAAATTAGTTTAAAACTATAGTTATATACAGTACCAGTCATATATATATGTATGTATATATACAGTATAGGTATTAGCCTATTGAAAGATGACGTCAATATTTCGATAAACAAATTTGTTTCTCTAAAAGCACGCAAAGTTGAGTTGGCAAAATGTTAATTTTCTTATTTAGGTATTTGTTTTTTATATAGTTTTTGTTTATGTTTTTAGGGTGGCAATATTTTTTCGACATTTTTTTTTATTTCGGAGCTCACATGAAACAATTTAAGTTTAAAGTATTCAAGTTTCAACTCAAAAAAAATAAACGTCGCTCAAAAAAATCAACTAAATTGGAAAAAATCAAGAAATGTATTTCAAAAATATTGAGCGACCAATAATATTTTGACTTAAAAATGTACCTATTATGTCCCTATACGACCTACAAAAAAAATAGTGAGAAGCCAAAGATTTTGAGAAAAAAGGTTGGTTTAATAGTATATTACACTACAAGGGCAGAAAGTGTGAGATTCCTGCACTGCGCGCCATGATGGCGCGCAGTTCAGGGCTCTCACACTTTCTGCCCGTGTAGTGTATACTATTTTTCTTACTACCTCGGCCGAAAATACAACCCGGCCGAAAATACGGGAAAAAATTAAATGTGTATTTACCTATCTCCATTTGAAGAGCTTGATAAATAAATAACAGTAGGCCGTGAATTCAGCGGTGCCAATACAGTAAAAATAAAAGGTTGTATTTTAATTAACAAATTACTACTTTATAACAAATAAAAGTACCATTAAAGACTTAAAACAACATAAAAAGTAAAAAAGTAAAAACATAAATTGTTTATTTGTTGTTATAATTGCAAAATTATGGTTTAAAACTGTCATATTTTTGTGTTTCTCATGTTGGCAGTACGAAATTTGAATGTTAAGCACCCGACTAAAAAATTTTTACTCTCGCTATTAGAGTGTGCGCGTATAGCTTGACCAATGCATAAAACGTAAACTTTCTGCCGTGGAATCGGGGACGAAACAACGTATTTTGAGTCGAGGTAGTAAGAAAAAAAGTTTTGAGCGACGTCTAAAATTTTTTTATCTGTTGAAACTCAAATACTTTAGACTTATTTTTTTTATTTGATCTCCAAAATCAAAAAAAATTCGAAAAAATACTACAACCCTAATGTTTATGGTTAAGTAAAATCCTTTTGTTAAGAAGTGACATTTCTTTGAATTTATTATATAGGTAGGGGCAGAAAATTTTTATTAGACCCGGGGCCAGTGGCGTGCAGGACGGGCCCCGCAGGGCCCGCGGTGCGGGGGGGCCCCCGACCTTGGGGGGGCCCCGTAGAGAACCACATTGGGTGGTATAAGTGACAAAGGGGCCCCAGCTTAAAATTTGCGGGGGGGCCTCCGATCACCTTTGCACGCTACTGCCCGGGGCGCAAATTTTTATAATCCGGCGCTGACTCTATTGTTTTATAAATGTCGCTTTATACAAATATTTTATTAAAATCATTTTTATTTAATAATAAGTATTTTTTGTAGAAAAAGTATAGTATGTGCGACTCGTTTATAAACTTTTCTAGGCACTCATTTTATTAAACACTCGCTCGCAAGATAGCGCGAGTCTTAAAATTCGTTAATAAAATTGCGTTTATCAAACTTTATACATAATATACTATTACAACTTCATTTTATTTAATGCCTGCTATGAGAATAATTGCCCCATTGTGCGAAGGTCAGATCGTACTAAATCGCGATGGTTTCGTTAGTTATATATTGAATGAATTTAAAATTAAATATTTGCATATAAAAAACGGTTTTTACAATATCACAAAAACCAGAGATCAAAATGAGGTCATTTTTGGAATCATGATTCTAAAAATTACCTCACTGCAAATTAATCTGGAAACCCTGCAACAAACAAGGCATTTTATCTAGTCAGCCAGTGTTAATTTTAAATAAAATTGTATTTACAAAAGTAAATGCATTTCAAAATGCAATACCCAAATACATATTATATATAAATAAGATAAGATATAACGATTTTTTTCATAAGTGCATTAAAATATCTACTTATTTGCAATTCATTTTTTAGGTCTGTAGGTACTAAAATATTCTACTGCATGTATAATTATATATCCGTAACTCGAGTTAACCATTGTTTTTAGAGTTAGAGTACCTAATTGTAGGTTTAAAATTGCAACTAATGGTAAGTGTTTTAATTTTATTTTGTAAGTAAAGTAAATACAAGATAAAAAATACTTTAGGCTATAAATTGAGTTATATAGTTATATATTGAGTTGTATTAAGTAACAAAACCTAAGGTTATCCTGAAAAGAGATTTAGTTTTTAGATTGTGGTCCAGTACCTGATTTTTAGGGTGTACCATTAAAAATCCTTAAATTACACAGGACCACAAAAAACAAGTGATAAACGCTTTGAATAGGAATATACCTAATATTCCTAGGTTTTTTTTCTTCTGAAACTAAATCTAAACTCAGTTTTAGCGGGCTAAAATACATTCATAGGTACTTTTCTCTTTTAATTATTTTTATGTTTTCCTATACATATGAATGTCCATGGTCTTATTCACTTGTTTTTTGATGGGTCTGTGTTATGATTAAATAACACATGTCCTTTGTTTCTTGTTCTATTTATTTTCCTTGCTGCCTATTTCGGCCAGAGGCTTTGGTCCTTTGTGACTTAGTAGTTAAGGCTAATGATTCAAAAAGAGGCCATTTATTAGTTTGGGCATTTTATCATTGTGCCGATGATCTCGTCAGTGTAACCCAATATTTTTTAACGAATTGACTGCTTAATTATAGAAATCTACTAAAAAGCGACCTAGAGTTTCTAGGAATCTATCACCAATAAGAAACTTGCCATCTAGAATATACCTATAAAAGTAGTTAGTACACACCAGAAGTTAGAAATAACATACAACGGTTACCTCAGTCTTTATTTGAATACATTTAGAGGTTAAACGCTTTTTAGAGGTTGGGTCTAAAAACAATGATGTGTCTTACCCAGGAAGTACTAGAAACCTGAAAAACAAACTCGGGTGGAGGGTATGGCTACAATTCCTTCTGCAGTTGATCAGCCTTTAACAGCAGGGTTGCCAGATTTTGCAGATGAAAAAGCGGGACAATCAAATCTCTGTTAAAAAAATGTGTTAGTTTCGAAAATTTTGAAATTGCCTCGAAAAAAAATTCAAAAGATATATAATTTTTTAATTATAAAATTATGAAAAATATTATTATTTAAGTGTATTTTTCATATGATGGAACTTTTTCAAGAATTTCTTTTCCATTGCTTTTTAAAAAATTAACAAATTCTTTACATGTCTTTTTATTATTAGTTTTGATTATCAATTCAGCTTCTAATTAGAAAAAAAAATGTGTTAAGCTTAAACACATTAATGTGTTTAAGCTTAATCCATTTTTTTCAAAACTGTTCTCATCAAACTAAAAATTCTTTCGGTATAAAAAAAATAATTGCAGAAATTTTAAATTGTGAAGCAACATCAAAGTAATTATTTAAATTACTAATCACTGAGTTTTTATCAAAATATTTAAGCACCAACGGAAAGGTTTTTATGTTGGCTTTATTTGAAGCGAAATTGGATGGTGTTTAGAAAGATCTTCTAAAATATTTTTTTTGCTATAGGGTCCCAAAACATTTGTAACAATCTTTGTGAGTTTTGTTCTGCCACAAATAAAGCTACACTCAGCAATTAGCTTTTTTGCCTCATCTCCCGTTCGATTAAACATTTTTTAAAGTGCATTTGTGTTTGCTAACTTTTAAATGTTCTTTTTGTGTTTAACACTTTTCATATGCTTTTGAATATCATTTTCTTTATTTAAGTTTTTTTAGACGTAGATCATAATTTTCCTGTATTTTGTAAATTTTTTAAATTATTCCCTTTTTTCGTTCGCAATTTTGATAATATTTAAAAATCGGGATTTTCGACGTGCAAATTGGAAGGCGGGACAAAGCGGGACACTTCGATAAAAATCGGGACAGTCCCGCCTAAATCGGGACGTCTAGCAACCCTGTCTAACAGGCGTTTTAAGAATTACGAATCAAATTATTTAAATTATTTGAATATTTAAATTATTCAAATATTTAAATTATTTGAAATATTCATAATAATTATTCAGTAATTTATATGTTATGGGAGCGGGGTTGGAGAGTCTCAACCCTCATGCATGAGCCATGAGACTCCCCAACCATCCATACACAAACAAAAATCAGGAACAGGTAGCGTCGCTCGCTTATATCGAACTTTGCATGGCGCTAAATTCAATATATATTTTTTCGAATCGTATCAACTTATATAAAACTTATAATTTAAAATATATATGGAAAATTGTAGTAAATTTTACTTATAAATATATACGAGGTGTGTTCAGAAAATATCGGGAATATTCGTTTTTTGAAACAAATCTTTATTTATTCGTCTACATTAATGTTGTCACCTTCAAAATAGTCCCCATTGGATATTATGCACATGTGCCAGCTCTTCTTCCAATACTCGAAACACTTGATCTTTGGGATAGCCTTTAGTTCTTTCAGCGATGCGCTTTTAATGTCATCTATGCTTGCAAATCGACGGCCCTTTAAGGTTCTATTTATTTTTGGGGATAGGAAAAAGTCAGACAGAGGCATGTCTAGCGAATATGGAGGCTGGGGCATCATTACAGTATTGTTTTTGGCCAAAAATTTTGTTCAAAATTTAACAATTTTAGAAAAAATTTTGCTGCCACGCGTTTCATACCCAAAACATTCGAAAAAATTGCATGGGATGAGCTAATCGATATACCAACATCATCAGCGAATTCTCTGATGGTTTATAACCATTTCTTCCACTTTTTCCATGTTTTTATCGGTTGTAAATGTGCTTGTGCGTTCGGGGCGTTCGTCATCTTCAACGTCTTCACGGCCATCTTGGAAACTCTTATACCACTTGTTTTACTTATAGCAGACTTTGTTAACATTTCACAGAATTTATTTAATTTTTTAAGCAAAATTGGATACAAATTCTTTGATCCATTTCTTTTAACGAAAGAAAAATCGCCGAGCTCATAAAACGCGTCTAACCTTAGCGGCTGCCACAGACAAAGTAAACAATGAAAACAGCTAGTTTTTATCATACTTGCATGTATACCAACATAATAAAGAAAATTTTATGACAACCGGACCCTCTGAACCCGCGAAATTTAACAATTCCCGTTATTTTCTGAACACACCTCGTATATATAAGGTGTCCCTAAAGTTAGTGGCATAAATTTAGGAGCAGATTAAGCAAGTCAAAATAAAACGAAAATCCAAATAAATATTTTTCCTAATTACGTATGTTTAAAATATACAGGGTGATAAAGTGTTACTTGTCATATCAGTTTTTTTTAATATAACTTCTACTGTGGTAGACTTGGAAAGGTAATATTTTGCGAATAGTCACTTACTACCAAAACACATATTCACACATAATTACAATTGTTCGAGTGAACCCAGTGTCGTAGAAACAGGGGTTGCTTAAGCTTATTGTCCCATACAAACTTTGAGGTTAGGTTTTTATACCATTTGATTCAATTTTTCGATTACGGTTTATTCACCGTGAATTTACTGTGAATTCACCATGAATTCACCGTAAACTCACCGTGAATAAACCGTCTATTTGTGACATTTGTAAACGGTAGTTAGACGGTGAATTCACGCTCTTTTCACAGTATTTTAATTGTGAATCCACCGTATTTTGGCGGTATATTCACGGTGAATTCATGGTGAATTCACGGTGAATTCACGGTGAATAAACCGTGAACTAAAAGGCCGCAAGGGTAGGTATATCCTATTGGTTTAACAAGACTATAGCTAGCCATTATTCGTTACTGAGCAGATGAGGATTAATGTTCAGCTATGCCATTACAGACGCACACTTCCAACTAAATATTGCAACCCAACGCTATTTATAGTTAGCTCGCTTGCGTAAGCAGCCGTGAGATGTATTGAGTTCACCGTGAATTTACCGTGAAATCACCGTGAATTAACCGTGAAATAACCGTGAATTTATCGCAAAAACAGCGTGAGTTCACCGTTAAATTACCGTCTACAAATGTCACAAATGGACGGTATATTCACTGCACATAAACGGTGTATTCACGGTGAATTCACGCAAACGGTGAATTCACGGTGAATTCACCGTAAACTCAAGGCCGCAACGGTATTAAAAAGGTGTACCTCTCAAACTTAGATAAAATAAACCGTTTCCGAGATATTCGAGATAACGTCACGTAACTTCGAATGAAATAACTATGGAACATATGGCGCCTCATAAAAGTCCACCGACTCTTGATTATTAAAACTAAAAATGATATTTTTGTTACAGGAACCACAACATAAAAATAAAAACCACAATGTAAGAAATTTTTTATATTTTATTTTCTTTTACTAAAAAAATGCTTCTATAATAGCTAAGAAGTGAGTGAAGGCCGACGTCGCGACGTGTAGCGGAGTACTACAATTAAGTGTAGCACACAAAAACACTTCTTAGCCAAATGGCATACAACATTTTATCTTTAAGTCACAATTTTATTTGTTAAACGTATAATTTTAATAGCGAAGATTTAAAGTAGAGGTTAGATAGATCTGACAGTTATTAAATATTTTGATTGGTCCAAACAAGTTTTTTACAACCTGAGCGATAATCAAACACTTTAGAAGTGGGTGTAGCCAATAAAAAGTTTAAATTATACTCTCTTAAAATGAATTAGTCAAAAATGACTAATTGTCATAGCGGAAAAGCAGCAACTAATGATTCTATAGACTATAGTCAACAGCAATTTGTATGTAAAATTACCTGCTGAATACGAAAATCTCGAACAGTTTTTGAGAAATTGTCCTTTTTTCATATAATATGGAATTGACTATACAGTGCTTGCAAACACAAGTCCGACCGGTTTGGGAAGGATGCGTGAAAATAACAAGGATAGAACGCCAAACAGAAGGCGCTTACAATACGCACGCCTGACGCTCTGACCAATCAAATTCTGTTTGGCATTCTATCCTTATTCTTTTCACGCGGGTATTGAACAACCATCCTTCCCAAGGCGGTCGGACTTGGATTTGCAAGCACTGTATCTCAAACACTGCTCTACTTTCATAACTTTTGACGGTATTTTCTGATTCAGCAAATAATTTTACATATGAATTGACTGTTAAAGTTATTCGTGGCTGCTTTTTCGCCATGACAATTAGTCATTTTTGACTAATTCATTTTAAGAGAGAACCGCTAATAATATTTGCCCTAGTTTTTATTTTTTCACAACCCGACATGATGTCGACATTCTAAAATTTCTATTATGACGTTAATTTGCAATCATTTAGCTTTGTCGGGTATCCTCTTAACCCATTTGGGTTAGAATTATAATTTAAGATTCTTTGGAAATTAAAAAATGGTTCAGCATGTCGAGCAAACCTAAAAAAAAACGAATTCTTTAGTCACAGGCTAAAGTTAGCTTTATTATAAATAAGGAAAAAGTAAGGTTAAATCCGTTTAAAGTTGACAGATAAAATTGGCTTTAAACTCTTCTTTGTGTTCGTCGTAGATAAAGTATAGTATGCAACTCGTTTTATAAACTTCTCTAGGCACTCGTTTTTATTAAACATTCGCTCGCAAGCTTCGCTCGTGCCTAATAAAACTCGTAACTAAAATGGCGTTTATAAAACTTGATACATAATATACTATTATCTACTCCTACATTGACAAGCTGTGACCTTATGGCGTTTAGTCACGGGCTAAAGTTAGTTTTATTATAAATTGGAAAAAAGTAAGGTTTAACCTTAGCCCGTGCATATATGGATATGTTACTGTAGCGAAGTGTTGGAAACTTGCCGAAGGTGGTGGGTGGTAGGTTTTTTAAAGACTGTAATTCCTGAACACGCTTTATTCTATTTAGACAAATTGAGTCTCAAATTGGTAATACTTCTTGATCCGGCGGATATTAAATCTAAAAAACTGTTTCACTACTTAATTGAAGTGAAAATAAAATAATATATTAATTTAGTTACCTGTTTCACCAGATAACTTTTCGTTTAACAAAACGAACATTAATCCAGAGGATGATAACAAAATTTAAAGATCTAAAACGTTGCAAGCCACTGCTAAAGACAACAGGCAAATGGTGGCCAAGTATCACCAAAAAACCCATTAAATTTCGCGGGGAATAATTAAGGCGGAAAATTTGAATTAAGACGTGTTACCAACTTTACACAATGATAATATCATATAAACAATTAATAAAGTAGTACAAAAATAACCAAATCGCTTCAACTGCCCCCCAGCTTGCAAGTCGCGGTGAAAATTAAATTTTAATTCTGCCAGTCTTCAAGCTTTACAGCCCAAAGAACACTGCCTTAAGGAAGCGGTTTTTCATAAGGTTTTAAATGAGAGCAGTGGAAACGTCCCCTCTCCACATCAGTATCGGGGTTAACCAAAACAAAGGAGGTAAGACCAACGGTCTTTTTGATTTTGTACGGTCCTTCGAAGAGGAGCATAAATTTCTTGATCTCGCTGCTCAAAACCGAGGATTTAGGTTCAGACTTCAGCAAAACCAGATCTCCGACCTTAACCTTCCGGCGGGCGCAACCGATCTAAGAGATACACCAGTTAAAAAATTGCACCCGAACGCACTGTTTTTATAGGCATAACTACCCGCCCTTCAGTAGCTTCATATTTTTAGGACTTCTACCGATATGTCTACTGCAGTTTGTGTTTAATCTCCTTGTAAGGTGGTGGCAGGCATTTTGATCTGCTAATACAGTGCGCCCGATTGCGTTATAGTTTAATATTTACAAATTTTTAACTTTTTATGAACGTAAGCATTGATTTATAACTTTTTGTATGCATTTTTACTTAAATTTATACTATGATAGTTCAGCAAGAAGAAGAACAACCACCTAAAAACGAAGATGTTTACCATGTACTTCAGAATCGGGTATTAGACCGCTTTCTAAATAAAGTGCAAAAAATGTCAAAAAGCACTTACAACTTGCAATTTTCGTATGCACTTCATGTTTGGATAAAACTGTTATTACTAAATCTAATTAGGAGTTTTAATAATTATTCATAATTATTTGTTTTGATATACAATATTTGTATAAAATTTGAAAATATTTGTATAAAATTTGTATTTTGTTTAGTTTTCGTTACAAAAAAATTGTTTTATTTTATTTTCGAAATTTATGCATAAATTTTATGTTATTTAATAAAAGTTTTAAAAAACGTTGTTATTTATTTATTTGGTAAAAATATAAAAAAAACACTTTAGTATGCATATCTGAAAATTTCTTTTGTCTTTACAAAAATTAGTTATATTTGATTCTATTTGCGCATTTTATGTATGTATAGTATTTTATAAGTTAGTATATAGTCTTAAAAAAAGTATACTTAACTTAACTTAAAAGTATACTTAACTTAACTTAACTTGATGACTGATGATTTCATGACCTTGATACCCAGGGATTCAAGCTCACGATTCCAGATGTGTGCTGTAAATTGGGTGCCGTGGTCAGTTAGTACTCGGTTAGGGACTCCATATTTTAAAAAATAATCATTTTATAATTTGTTGAGTATGGTAAGGGAGGTGGCTTTCTTAAGCGGGTAGAGAGCTACTAGCTTAGAGAAAACATCGAGAACTACGCACAAATGGACTACTCCGCCACGGGAACGAGGAAGAGGTCCGTACAAATCCAAAGCAATAAGGTCTCGTGGAGCCTCAGAAATAATGCTTTGCATAGGGGGCTTAGGGAATTTGCTAGACTTGGACATTTGGCAAGTATGACAGGTCTTCAAGATGGCTTTTACTCTGGAGTGCATATTGGACCACCAAACCTCTCTTCTGAGAGCAGACCACGTTTTAAATACTCCAAAATGACCCAGTGCAACGTGGTAAGCGTTGAAAAAATCTGGTATTCGCATCTCCGGTACACAAAGGAGGCAAGTATCATTATCCGCCTGTCTTAGAAAAAGAATTCCCTCATGCAACACGAAACGAAGGTTAGCGTGAGGGTCGTCTAGTAAACTTTGACGAATAGCCAATAGTTTAGGATCATTATGTTGCTCTTCAACAATAGAAGACAGCGATTGAGCAAAAGGGATACCCAACCCTATATTACAAATCCTAAAACATTTATCCTCAGGTACGGGCAAACGTGGAGGGGGATAACGAGAGAGAGCATCACTTACGACATTTTCCTTACCAGAAATATATCTGACCTCATATGAGTACTCTTAGAGTGCAAGAGCCCAACGAGTAAGCCGAGGGGACAGAAGTCGGCAACTCTGTAAATACACCAACGCTCGGTGATCAGTAAGGACATAAAAGGGTTTTCCCAGCAGAAAATCACGCCATTTTTCTAACGCCCACACTACAGAAAGAGCCTCCTTTCCGGCGACACAGTAAGACTTTTCCCTATCCAGCAATAATCGACTAGCATATGAAACCACATATTTTTGTCCATCTTTATACTGGTAAAGTTGCGCACCTAGTCCCACTTCACTAGCATCGGTCTGCACCCAGAAGGACAGGTCATAATTTGGGTGATAAAGCAGGGTTTCCTCAGAAATAAGTTTTTTGAGGGCTTTAAAGGCAGAGTTCTGTTCTTCAGACCAGTCCCACTTAACCTTTTTCCTTAAAAGTCTGAAAAGTGGCTCGGCAAGCGTTGCAAAGTTCTCACAGGTCAAAATTGCATAGACCTAGAAAGGCTTGAAGCTGCTTCACGTCTTGAGGCTGAGGAAAATGGACTACTGACTGAATACGTCCGTCGTCTGGACGAATGCCCCGTTTATTTAGGACATAACCTAAAAAATTAAGCTCTTTCTTTAGAAACTGACATTTCTTAAGTCTTAAGGTCATACCTGCTTCTGTCAGACGAAAAAAAACCCGGGACAGGTGGCTGATGTGATCGGTAAAAGTTTCCGAGACCACTAATAAATCGTCCACATAAGGAATTACAAAATCGGCAAAAGATGGTCCGAGAATTTTGTCTATGGCACGTGAGAAGGAGCTGATAGCAGTTTTCAGCCCAAATGGCAGAACCTTAAATTGATATGATTTGGTGCCATGTAGAAAACCAGTGTATTTTCTATCCGACTTTCTTAATGGGATTTGCCAGTAGGAGAAAGTGAGATCTAAAGTACTCATGTACCGAACATTGGGCAAAGTTTTCAAAATGTCTTGAATTTGACGAGGGAGTTCAGTATCTGGCAACATAACTTGGTTCAAGCTCCTAGCATCAAGGACAACGCGAACTGTTCCATCCTTCTTGAGCACAGTAGAAAGAGGACTACTATAAGGGCTTGAAGACGTTCGTTCAATAATACCCAACTCTACCATGCAAATTGCATGATGCAATCAA